TCATCTATTTGCCATGAAAGCATGAGGAGGACCAGAGTTCAGAACATAAATGCCTTGTGAGTGTGGTGGCCTGCTTGTAATGTCAGTGTTTGGAAGAGACAAGGGATCCCATAGCTAGATTAGCCAAATCGGTGAGTTCTGGCTAACAGAACTCACAACACCCTGTAAGTCCAGATTCAGGAGGATCTGACATTTCTGGTCTTTGGTACCTATACTCATGTGTACATATGCACATGCACACACCATTACAAATAAAATCAAATAAATAAAATACTTTAAAAAAATAAATAAAAGAAGCAACTGGTTTGGGGGCAGAGTTACTGAATGGCAGAGCTAGAATTTGAATATAGGCCTATTTAACTTCATTGCCTATGGTTGAGCAAACAACTATAAGAGCTTTAAATGGGAAACAACTTTTGCCATTGGGAGTCAGGAAAGACTTTACAGTATTAGCAAATTCATGACTAGATCATGAAGCACAAACAGGAAGTTGCCAACAAAACAAGGAAAGAGAGTAGGAGATTCTAGGGACACTGTTTCCTTATAGCAGATTAAAGTAGCTACAATTTTTGTCCAAATATAGTCTCATACTCCTTTGGGAAATAGAGTCTCTTTTTTTGTATGGGAACCTTGTTCTCTTGTGTGATTCAGGTGAGACTAAATAGCCTTATTCACACGCCATCTTTATAGCATAGGGTTCAGGGAAAACAGGTATTGCCCTAGCCAGCAATGACTCATGGAAAGGTGGCTAGTAAATAGGAGAGAGGTAGGCTGAACAGCACCACTGCAAGGCACACATCTCTTCTCCTTTTCTGTCTTTTGGTTCTGATTTCTCCTGTACTGATTATTCTCCAGAAACTAGTGGCAGGTTCTTACTGAAGAGGGACAAAATCAAAGGGTAGGTAGTAAAAAGCAGCAATTATAAACTTGCTAAACACAAGAAAAAATGATTAGAAAGAAAGGTTTTGTTTAACAAACATTTCTAGGGCTTCTGTTATGTACTAAGAATCACAAAGATGAATAAGCTCTGGCCATTGAGGAGTTCATTTAGTAAACTTGGGCTAGGGCATACATGTGAACAGCTTTGAATGTTAGGTGGCATAAGAAATGTTTACATGAATGGAGTTATGAGATTACTTAGAGAGGACCTTCACCCTTCAAAGAAGGCTTCCAAAAAAATCAAAAGCCGGTGTGGTGGCACATGCCTTTAATCCCAGCACTCGGGAGGCAGAGGCAGGTGGATCTCTGTGAGTTCAAGGCCAGCCTGATCTACATAGTGTGTTCCAGGACAGCTGGGGCTACAGGGAGACCCTGTCTCAAAAAGACCAAAAAAATATCAAAGCACTTACTTATCTAATTTGGGGGGGGAGGTGGGCAGGGATTGTACATGAATGCCAGAGAACAACCTGTGGAAATCATTCTCTCTTTTTACATTGTGGGTCCTAGGGATTGGACTCAGGTTGACAGGCTGAACAGCAAGCACCTTTCCTTGCTAAACCATCTCACTAGCCCAAGGAATACATCTCAGAAGAACTGATGAGTTAACTGTCTCATAAAGAATAAGAGTTTTGGGAGCTGAAGAGATGGCTCAGCGGTTAAGAGCACTGACTGCTCTTGCAGAGGACCCGGGTTCGATTCCCAGCACCCACATGGTGGCTATGAACC